CACATTTTAAAAAAATAAACAAAACAAACTCTTGGTCTCCCCTTCAAAAAATGTATCAAAAGCCCCTAACTAATTATCAGTGAGCATGTAAAGTGCTCAGGAGAGACTGGATTACTACATCCTTGACAGAGACACAGTCATGTTCCCCACTCAGCTGAACGTTCCAACGTTAGACAGTTCTGAGTTATTTTCATGCTTAGCCATATACTGCTGTTTTACTCATACTAGTTATATTAAGAACCACTGGTTATCAGACCCATGTTTAAAAATATTAGACATATGATGTACAACTTTAAAATTTATCTTGAAACAGCATGTTTTTCTATGTAATTAAACTGTGGATTATCTATTAAATGGAAAATGTCCTCTTTTATCTTTTCCTAGTTATTATTACAGAGTATATCTAAAATTAACCTCAATGGAATAAATCAAAAATATTTCCAAATATTCTATATTATTTCTTGGGGGGAATTCAGATGATAGACATAACTCAGACTAATGCTAGACAGGTTCAACTCTAGACCATTACAACAAAGCAAGTAACTCAATAAAGTGAGTCACATGAATTTTTTGGTTTCTCAATGCATATAAGTTGTTCACACTACACCGTACTCTATTATGTGCAAGGTTCTGCATATAAGTTGTTCACACTATACCGTTCTCTATTATGTGCAAGGTTCTTTGAACTGGCTGCACCATAGGCCATACCCTAAGTCAAGCCCTGGCAACCCCCATGACTCGCACGTACACCCCTGGATGGTCTCCCAGAGCCAGAAAGTCTGAAGAATAGCTAGCTCCTACAAAGCCCAATTAACCAACCTTGGGACATTCCACCATTGTTCCGGCTTAACTGATAAGCCAACCTTGTGACACTGGACCTTGTGACACCTTCCCAGCGACACCCCCACCTACCCAGCTTGCAAAACCACCCTGAACTATAACTTCTGCAACTTTCCACTGCCTACCCCAAACCAATAAAATCAACTATCCCACCGCCCTCCACTGACTGGGTCTTTTCAGATTCAGTCCACTCGCACCAAGGTGAATAAACAGCCTTGTTGCTCACATAAAGCCTGTTTCGGTGGTCTCTTTTTTCAGAACATGCTTAACATTACGTGTGCAATAGTATTACATCTAAAAGAACAATGTATATATACCTTAATTTAAAACATTTATTGCTAAAAAAGACACTAACTATCATTTAAGTCTTCAGTGAGTTGTAATCTTTTTGCTGGTAGAGGGTCTTGACTTGATGCTCATGGCCACTGACTGATTAGAGTGGTGGTTGCAGAAGTCTGGGGTGGCTGTGACAATTTCTCAAAATAAGACAACAGTGAATTTTGCCGCACCAGTTGACTCTGACTTTCACAAAAGATTTCTCTGTAGCAGCGATACTGTTTGACAGCATTTTACTAACAGAACCTCTTTCAAAATTATAGCCAATCATCTCAAACCTTACCACTGCTCTATCATCTAAGTTTACATAATATTCTAAATCCTCTATTGTCATTTCAACACTGTTCATAGCATCTTCACCAAGAGTAGATTCCATCTCAAGAAACTACTTTCTCTGCTCAGCCTTGCTGAGCCATAAGGATAATACATCTGTTGAAGTTGTATTACGAGACTGTAACAATTCATTCCCATCTTCAGGTTCCATTTTTAATTCGAGTTTACTGTTGCTATTTTTACCACATCTGCAGTTACTTCCTCCACTGAAGTCTTGAATCCCTCAACATCATCTATGAGGGTTGGAATCAACTTCTTCCAAGCTCCTGTTAATGTTGATATTTTGACCTCCTCCCATGAATTACAAATGGTCTGAATGGCATCTAGAATGGTGAATCCTTTACAGAAGGTTTTTTATTTATTTTGCCCAGATCCATCACTATCTGTGGCAGCTACAGCCTTACAAAATGTAATAAGACTTGAAAGTCAAAATTCCTCCTTGATCCACAGGCTGCAGAATGGATGTTGTGTTAGAAGGCAAGAAAACAATATTCATCTCTTTGTACATCTCCATCAATTCTTGTCACCAGGTGCACTGCCAATGAGGAGTAATATTTGAAAGGAATCTTTTTTTATTGAGCAGCAGGTCTTAACGGTAGACTTAAAATATTCAGTAAACCATGCTGTAAACAGAGGTGCTCTCATCCAGGCTTTGTTATTCCATCGACAGAGCACAGACAGAGGAGATTTAACATAATTCTTAAAGCCCTAGAATTTTCAGAATGGCAAATCAGCACTGGCTTCAACTGATAGTCACCATCTGTGTTAGCTCCTCACAAGAGAGTCAGCCTGTCCTTTGAAGTTTTGAAGCCAGGCCTTCACTTCTCCCCTCTAGCTATGAAAGTCCTTATGGCACTTACATCCAATAGAAGGCCACTTCATCTACATTGAACACCTACTGTTGAGTGCAGCCACCTTCCTCAGTGATCGCAGCTAGATCTGGATAACTTGCTGCAGCTTCTCCACCAACACTGGAACTTCATCTTGTACTGCTATGTTAGGAGACGGCTTCTTTCCTTGAACCTCAGGAATCAACCTCTACTGGCTTCAAACTTTTCTTCTGCAGCTTCTTCACCTCTCTCAGGCTTCACAGAATTGAAGAAGAGCTCTCTTCAATTTGGTATCCCTGTGGCAGCACCAAACTGCTCTAGGTGAGACTCTAGCTTAAGGGAATATTGTGGCTGGTTTAATCTTCTATCCAGACCACTCAAACTTTCCTCCAATCAGCAATAAGCCTGTTTTGCTTTCCTGTCATTTGTGTATTCTCACTGGAGGAGCATTTTTCATTTCCTTTAAGAACTTTTCTTTTGCATTAACTGTGCTATTTAGTTCTATGCAAATCCTCAAATTTGCGATTCTATTGCATCATATCTTCCCCATTTAAAAAATATATTTTGTCTCTAAACAGAACTGTCCCTTTTAGCCCTCTTTATTTGTTTTATCCCTACAAAGAAAAGAACACTGTTACCATTTTGTGAGATTCACTACAACAATGATAAAAAGCCATGAAAGAGAAGGATTAGACACAGAATAGTTTGCTGGACTCACTCACTAGACTGGGTAATTCCTTCAAGTATACTAGCGTGGTACTGACAGTAAAAGTACACATTACTCCATAAGGCAATCTTCAGGGACACCTGTCTACTAGCTGACACCGTAAAATTAAGCTCACCAATGGAAGAGTCTATGTGTGACCATACACAAACCAAAGGGGTATTTGACATGAAGTCTGTACGTTCACTTGTTTTTGTAAAATAAAAGTAACGTTTCATCTAAAGGTGTTTCTCCTGTTAGACTTATTAGCAAAGATAAGCAAACCGTCAATGCACAACACATCGGAACTGGATGTGTTGCAGGAAAGCCTCAGGCTTAGTAAGCAGTCTTCACAACTGTTGACATTTGATTCCAGTAGCACCCTGGAGAAATGCCACAATGTTCCTCGGCTTCTTAAAATGTCTTTACTGGAGAACTAAACATTGCTTGTATGATACTCTTAGCTAAGTATCCATTGACCGAAATAAATAATGATAAAACACATGACAATGATATCTCAAGAATCACTTTTAGGAAGTTTACCTACAAGTCACCTTCTTTCATGGTTCTTGTCCCATTATTAAAGCTGAACATGTACCTGGCTATTTAGCCTGAGAAATGGTAAACTTTTTCAAGGAGAAAAGTCAACTAAATCATTTTAGTGTCTCTAGTATAATGCCTGGTATGTAGTAGGTGAGCTATAAACAATTATTAACTGAAGTGAATTTTCACTGATGGTGATGAACGCAAACAGAAATCAACAACCTCATGTTTGCAAAGGTTAAGCCAATAGCAGAAATGCTTTGTACACTTCAGGAAGCCAACACCTTATCTAAATATTTATTATATAGGTAAAATTTCATCACAACTACCTGTCTCCAATAAATTTATCTTTTTAAAAAATAATACAGACATGGATAGAAATAGTATTCCTCGTTTCTAGGACTAGGAGAGAATGCTGTCTTTAGAGAGCAAGTGAACAGGTATATGGAAGTACTTGTGAAGACAGTCAGAGGGAAAAATTGCCTTCCTGACACTGCTCCTCTGTCTCCAGCCTTCCTGAAAGGTTCTTAGCTGCATTTAATTAGCCTAGAAGGCAGAGATGGATACCAATGTTGACAGCAGGGAGAGAGCTTAGAGGATAATTGTTACTTGACAGCAAAGAAGAAAACTCAGGGGCACAGGGATAGCTCCAGTCAATTTTCTTCTCTGTCTAGAGAAAACAGCACATTAGAAAGAAGTCCAAGACTCAAAAGGACTGTTGGCCAGACATGGATAGGGAAGGCATTATTTCTATTAGGGCTTTTAATTACAAAGAATATGTTCAAATCTAAGCTAAACATATACTTACTATAGGTCATCAGCTCTCACATGGAAATGACTTGGTTATGAGTATTTACTAATTATAATGAGATATATCAGAAAGGGGCTTTATTTGTATAAAACATTCCAAAATCTAGCTTAATCATCACCAAGAACACAGGATCCTGGTTCTAAGCAAAGTCAATTGAGACTTGTACAGATAAGGTCTTCCTGGAAAACTCCATTTAGCCAAGTTCTCATAAGATCTCAGTTCTAAAATCTGAGTTTATTGAAAGGAAAAAGAGGATATGATGAACACCACTGGCCATAGGAAGGAACCTGATATTCCAGCCATTAGCACCTCTGTCCCAATATCCAACCCCAGGAATCCTCTGGGCTGTTTTGATCCCACTGGAATAGCTTTTACTATTCTTTATGTCCTTATTGAGCACAGATAATTACTAACTTAATCTGAAATGCTGTGTTCACTGTAGAAAATTCAAAAAGTAAGCAAACAGTAAGCAAAAAGAAATTAAAAATAACCTCTAACATCCACTGCCATGCCCCACTCTTCCCACCCATTAAAGAATTACTCTGTTAAAAAGCTTTCATTTTTAAATGGAAAAGTGGTTGAAAGAGGTGAGGTCCTAACTTACCGGAAATTATTGCAGCCAAGGACTACTCCAACTATGTTCTTGCCAATGTCGTGCACATCGCCTTTAACAGTGGCCAACACGATGGTGCCCTGGTAAGGGTCCTGGAAAACAAGCCAAGCAGCTCAGCAAGGTGGGGTGGTTCAGCACCGATCACCTAGTTCTCCAGAGCCAGGCACAGGCCAGCACAGCAAGCAATTCAATATGACCAAGACCACCTCAAAGACAGACCTGGAAACCAAAGCCCAAGCAGTCCAAAGGAGGCCCACCTAATGTGCCCGCCCAAGGGGCTTCCACCAAGATTGGGGGTCCCATCCTTTCAAAGAACAGTTGGTATTCACACACAAAACAGCCCCACAGCTGAAGACCACATCCTTAACTTTGGTTGGGGGGAACCTATTTGACACATGTCTACTGTTAGCAATTAAGGGAGAGGCCAGGGAGAGGAAGAGGAACAGGTTAACTGTGTATGTTCCACTGGAATCTGAAAAACCTCCACAACAGCCCAGGCAGGGGGCACGTGAGCATCTTTCCTCAGCACTGTTGTTCTGTGCACAGCCGGCATCCCCACTACTCCCCACAAAGAGAAAAGAAGCAAACAAAACAAGAAGGATTTTTATAAACTCTGTGTCTGAGCCATTCACAAACACAGATCAGTTTAAAAATTTGAAATCCTAGGGACCAAAGCTGCCTGAGCTTCACAGGGAGCTAAACAAGGTCAAAAAGCTTAATGATTTACTCTGGTGGTGCGGCCAACAAGAATTAAATTGAATCCAGAAGTGGTGCCAAGGACCTCACCAGCAGAAAGAGAATATTCAGTTAAGAGTTTTCTAAAAACAAGCATGGCTCAATTACCTCAAGGGCAGGCACAGACAATCGTATTGAGTAGTGCCTAGCACGGTATTTGGCACATCACAGGAGTCTGTAAATGATCAGTTAATGAAGAAACAAAGGAATGAACTCGTTTTGCCTTGAAAACGTGGGATTTGACTGAAAAATTTTATCTATATTAAAAAATATTATAAAGCTACATTCAGAAGAAAGTCCCAGAGTATTCTGATATTTGGTTAAAAAAGGGACAGACATGGGATCCTTTCTCTGTTTTATCCTCAATGACAAACACAGCCAAGCCCGACTGCTTAGGCCCCTACCACCACCTCAACAAGTCTTCCAGGTCAACTCATTTAAGGGCCATAGGCCTGAACAGAATGACTTGCCTCTTCTTCTACTGTGCTGTTAAGCACTCTGGTTTCTTCTCTTTCTTTTTCCATAAAAGGGATAAGGTGGCCAACAGCCTTCTTCATAACCCGCGCTGACTTTATAACCTGAGAAAAAAGCATAGGATCAGGCATCTTTACCAAACCACAGGAACAACTGCTGATGGCCACCTGTGATATTCTGGCACAAATTAAGAATGCATGCTTTGACAACAGGCCAGCTACACTGGAGTCTTTTGACAGCAGGCAGAATAAAGGATAAGCTTCCCAGAGGAAAAGCCAGTGAATAATAAGGTACAACAGAAGGAAAACAAGGCTAGAAATCAAATGTTATAATTTCTGTCTTCTGAACTTTTGCTTGTTGTTTTTTTCTCTATCTAGCAGGCACTCTATCATGTACCCAAGAGTTCTATGTATCCTTCAGGACCAGGTTTCCCACCATGAGCTCATTCCAAGCCTTCTCTTCGCAAGTCCCACCTTTACAACTTACTTAAAATTAAGCCTTACATTTAGGCAAGGTGAGGGCAGTTTAGTTTCTCAAATGCCGCACGGCCACTAACCCACATGCTCAACAAGTATGTGTTAACTGACGTGGATAGTCGCTGCTATAAATCAAAATAAGAGTTCTGGTTTTACTTTAAACAAGCCATTTAATGTACCATTATTTAAAACAGTAACATTTGTCTCAAAACACGCATCCTTACAGATGAACAGTGCCTGTTCAAATCAAGTCTTAATGTTAGTAACTCTACGTTTATCTTGGGTTTTATTTTACTTTTGGGGGGCGGGAGAGATAGGCATTGGGGTAACAGATGATACAAAAATTAGAACATAAAGATTATGATAGATTACGTTGCTAAGAATTTTCAGATGATTTTGTAACATCCACATCATTCTAACAATGGACTTTTCCAGACATGACTCCTAACTATATTTAAAGAAGGAATAACTAGACAATGCAATTGAACTCTTGTCCAAATTAAACCTGAGAAATATACCCCAAATCACTATTTATTAAATGGCAAAGGAAAGAGTCAATTGTGAAAATGTCTCCCCATCTTTTGCCAACCTGAGGTAGAAACATTTTTCCAGCTCCAAAAAGATCACCAACAATTTTCATTCCATTCATCAAGGGTCCTTCAATTATATTGAGAGGTCGGGGATATTTTTCTTGGTTTAACCTTGCTTCCTCAGTATCCTCAATAATGTGTTTTTCAATGCCCTAAAAAAGACAAAAAGAAAAAAAAATCACTTAAAAAATTGGCTTACCTCCACAGAGCCAGCATGAAAATGCTTAAGTGCATGGGTTCCAGAATCAGAGTGGATGGGTTCAATCTGGCTTCCTATCACTAATTTAGGCCTCAATTAATTCAATAAGCCTCAGTTTTCTCAATTAGAATATTACAATAGTATCTCATATGTTTATTTTGAGGATTGAGATAAAGTGCTCAGCTGGCTTTATTGATACAAGGTAAATACCTCATATACTTCCAAAATAGAATGTTATATGCAGTAAATACATACAATTTTATATGCCAATTAACAAAATGCTTTAAAATGTACCTCAGTAAAATGAGTTAATAGAGAAGGCCTAATAAGTTCAAATGCATCAAAAAATACATTTTGTTTCTTAGTGTTTTACCAGATTATACATTAATAAATACCTGTGGTGAAATGAGTAAGTTTTCTCACTGTAATGCTGTAGGGTTGGGGGAGAAGTGACACTGGATGGGGCTCTTAAATGAAGTTCAAAACCATGAAGCCTCCAATGACTTATCCAACCTTCACTGCCAAGCCCCTCTCCTCCAGGGTCCCCAGTTCAATGATCCTTGGATGGGCTGACTAGCTCCTCGAATTGCAATATGTAAATCTCAAAAGGCCCAAGAGTTAAACGTTAAAATTCAGAGCCAAAACAAAACAAAACAAAACAAAACTCTGAGATTCTCCAGACTCACACATGAGGAAACTGAAGCCAAGAGATTATTGATCTTGTGTAAAGCCTAAAATTCCAACTATGAAACTGACTTGCTGACCAACTGACAGCAACTTGGTCCAGGACAGCATTCACAGCCTCAGCACTACTGACACTTGGGAGGGAATATCCTTTGTTGTTTAGGGCTATCCTAGGCACTTCAGGATGTTTAGCAGCATCCTTGGCCACAGGATACCAATAATACCTCCTACACACAGTAATGACAATCAAAATGTCTCTGGACACTGTCAAATGTGCTATTGTCGGGGGTGGGGAGTTTGGGAGACGGGGGCCTCCTCAGGTTGAGAGTCATTGGTCTGGGGCATCTCCTTCTCCAGCTACTGTCAGTACCACACCTCCAGGAACAGCATCAGTCAGCCACAATGAGCTGCCAGCCCTCCAGTTCAGGCTTCTATAACTCACCTTCACAAGGGCATACTCAAGACGTTCTTCAACAGGGCCATTTCTCCACTCATCAGTCTGAATAACCTTCTTCCCTCCTTGGCCATGAGTCTGAATTGAAATTGAAACCAAGAAATGGATACAATTCATCACTAACCATACTGTTTGATGGCAGAAAAAAACAAAACAAAACAAAAAACACCTTGTGTCTTATTTTTTGCTTTTCCAGCCCCTAGTAGACTGTCCAACATAAAATAACATCTCAATGAATGTTTAAGGAAAAGAGAGGGAAAAATGAGAAACCTTTTAGGGTTTAAACTGTTAATATAGAGACAGAGTAAGGTTCCCTTCTTTTCTTTCCTTCTTTTCTAAAAATAACAACTTGAGACAATATTTCCAGGACAGTAAGAAAAGCTATACTCCAAACCTGATAAGCCTTCAAAGCTCTCAACAAGGATCACCATTACCCACAAACAGATGCAGGCAGGCCACAATGAAGCTAAGTCGGACATCAAAGGTGGGCACAACTAAGAGACGATGTACGACACAGACTACGCTCTCAAGGACTCGCCACGGTTATGGTTTGAAGGTGTCCTCCAAAAGTTGTGCTGGAAACTTAATCCCTCTGTCCCCATGAATGGATTAATGAGGGATGGATTAATGCTGCTACCATGGAAGCAGGTTTGCTATCTCTCTGGCTCTCTTGCTGTGGCCCTCTCAACGTGAGATGCCCTCTGCCATGTTACGACACAGCAAGAAGACCCTCACCAGGGGCCAAGGCCATGCTCTTAGACTTTCCAGCTACCAGAACTGTGAGCTAAATAAAATTCTTTATAAATTACCAAGTCTTTGATATTCCATTAGACCAAAAGAAAACAAATTAAGCCATATCATTAGAGAGGTAGAAAATCTATAAAGAAAGAGAATATATGTCAAGGGCTGAATGAGTACATAATACAGACTAGGTATGTAGGAATTTTGAGGAAGGAATGGTTATCGTAAGCTAGGGTGGCAAAGAAAGGTTTCAAGGAAGCTGAATGTTGAAAAGGGGCAGATTCAGCAAAGGAACAAACGTGCAATGATTATAGCACATATGACAAATTGCATTACTTTATTGTTTCCTCCACCTCAACTGGTGGTACCAGCTGCCAAACCAGAAACCTAAGTATCATCCTTGAATCTCCATTCACTATTCAAGTTCAATCAAAAAAATCACCTCATCCTAACAATTATACCTTATATTTTTCTCTCCATCCCGCTTCCATTTTCACAGTCCAAGAACTAAGTAGTCTCCACAGACCAGAATCATTCTGGTCTCTGATTCGTCTTCTACACTGTAACCAAAAGGATGCATCCAAAATGCAAATCTAATCCAACTGCTCCCTCTGAAAAACATCTCTGTGTAAGTTTCCTATTGCTTTCATGACATGATACTGACTCCTTGCCATGCCATCCAATGCCCTGATGATGTGGTTTGGCTGTGACCTCACCCAAATCTCCTCTTGAATTGTAGCTCCCACAATTCCCACATGTCATGGGAGGTAACTGAATCATGGGGACGGGTCTTTCCAGTGCTGTTCTTGTGACAGTGAGTTTCACAAGATCTAATGGTTTCATAAAGGGGAGTTTCCCTGCTCAAGTCCTCTCTCTTGTCTGCTGCCATGTAAGACATGCCTTTCGCCTTCCACTACAATTGTGAGTCCATTAAACCTTTTTCTTTATAAATTACTGAGTCCTGGGTATGTCTTTATCAGCAGCATGAGAATGGACTAATACACCTGATCTGGCTTTCTCCTATAGCTTCATCTTCTGCTATTCCCAACAAGCTTCAGCCATCCAGAACACTTCTGTTCCTTATGCTCTCCATCACCTCTTCACCTCCAGGCCTTCACATGTGTTTATCTGACATAATTTATGCAGTACCTACCACAATGTCAGACTCTGGCTAGCTGCAAATATCCCTCCCCTGGCAGGGACCACCAGCACTGCACTCTACCCTCAAACCTTGGCCTGGCTACCTCCTTTATTTCTATGAGGCCTCACCTGACCTATCACTTCCTCTGGGAAGCTTTTCCTGAACTCCTCTAGTTTGGGGTCAGAATCTCCCTCAGCCTTCTAGCATCCTGTACTTCCCCTCTCACAGCACTTGCTGTGCTGGGTGACAATGGCCTCTATACATTTTTGCATGTGTCACTGAGCAGCAGGCTCTGAGAGGGTAGGGGTACATCTCTCTTACTAGTTAGGTCCTCTCAGTTCAGTCAAATGAATGTCACAAAGCAACACTTCAGTAAATATTAGCTGGATGAATTAATGCTAAACAAAGACTGATTTTACTGGAGTAATATTTGTCCAGGGTGGCAGAGGCCAAGCCACAGAGGGACAAAAATCCATGCTGTGGAGTTTAAATTTAACCTTCCAGGCAATTGCATGGGCAGAGATGGGAGACATTATTTAAAGTTCTAAAGCTGCAGAGTAACATTCAAAGTAACATTTTTAAGGGAATCACAAGAAGGGAAGAATATTTTAATAGTCCATGACGAAGGCCTGGACTCAGCAGTGGTAACAGGAGGAAAGGAAAGGACAAATATAAAGGCATTAATAGACAACGACTAAGAAGGAGAGGAGGAAGGAACTGGGGAGACTCCAAGATTGAGGGCCAAGGTGGTAAGTGCAATAATGACAACACAAGGACTCTTATATGTTGAGAAACCTGAACGAGATAGTAATTAAAAAGGAAAAAGTCCTAATGCTCACGGTCCCATCACTGGATACCTGTAAACACCATTTGTTCTATTTGCCACACAATCAGACAATTCCTGCCTGGGGGATGGAGTTTTGTAAAAACAAGGCAGCATGTTCCAAACACTCTTGAAAAAAGGAACTGGTGTGTTCACAGAAAAATACCACAGTGTGCCAGACTTACAGGGCTGGAAGGCGGCAAAAAATATATGATGATGGACAGAGGCAAAGGAGGATACAAAGGGCAGTAAAGAATTCACTGCGTGTTGGAGGCTGTGATGTCTAAAAACTATCCCACCTGATAGCTATGTTCTAAATCTGATGAACTTGATTCAGGGAAGCAATACTTAAAATGAAACAGTACTGTTAAAAGCAGTACTTCAGAAGTACACAGTGGCATGTGGAGGCCCATCTCACTTTTCATGTAGTTATTCAATAGGGATTTTCCCATGATATTCATACAAGGTGCTTCATAGTTTTCACACACTAGGGAAGACCAGACCCAGGCATACTGTGGAAACCTAGTAGATGAAAAGCTACCAAGCAAACTGACCAAGCAATTGTCATGTCCATCTGGCTACTCCTTGTACCTGTACGTATACAAAGCTAATGAGAAAATTACTTCTTCCTGTTCTAGAGTTGCTTCTGCCTCACAGGGGCCTCATGGTTGTGTCGGTAATAAAAGTGAGTAAACTGCTGCAGAGAAAGCCAAAGAAGAATGTGAGTTCAAATGGCAAAGGGAAGGATCAAGGCCAAGTCAAAGAACAGAAAAATTTCCCTGAAAGTATCGAGAATATTCTCAAGCACCAGGGTCATTCCAGAGCCATCCTATCCAGAGCAGCAATCCTTCCACTCCATTGGATGCCTGGCCTCCATTAGGGTACTATTTAATAAAGATCCTCCATGTAAATTACATGGTATCCAGAAATTTTTATTATCAAAAATAATTTACTTACCACAGGTCAGCCTGAACTAAATTAGGAAAATTATTTTTCAAAAAAATCCCATTACTCCCCAAATGTGAGACTGGAGAGCCTTGGAAGCTCGGAGGCAGCACTTTTCCCACTAGTTTCAATAATATATCAGACAGGAATTTGGGTGCAATAACCAAAAGAGATCATTCTCTTATAAAAGAGACAAAAACCCCTTGACTTATTTCCCTCATAATATTCCTGCTCTTCATGCTCCATTTGCACTCAGTGCATTCTAAGGAATTGCTACAGAGCTGGCGACTCCGGGGAGTTGAGTATACCTGCTTTGGTTATTATCTTAACAGCAACAGAAGTCACCTCGAATGTAGACAGCCTCCCTGACAGAGAGGTCAGTGGCTTATGAGAGGCCCTCATGGTTACATTAAGAATGAGGAAATTCTTATATGATGAATTGTTAAGCTCTTGCAATTGCTATTAAGACTTCCCTCACACTGGCAGTGCCTCCGGGGCAAAACCTCTTGACAGCTCAGCATGATATACAGAAATGAAAACTTGTAAGCAAATGCTAAAAGTAAATACAGACCAAAAGAATGTCTAGCACAAAATACGATGCCAAAAAAACCTTAAATGGGAATGGTCTCACAAATAAGGAGCCCCTTTCCTAAGTAAGAGGGCTGCCTCCTCTGGACAGATCAGGAAAAAGATGAAAACACATCATTTCATGGGTTAAGAACTCTCTAGTATGACTTCATGATTATAGAGGCTATGATGCCCCTTTGGCCTTCAACAGAACTCGTTAACAGTTATTAATGAAAGGCCCCCTACTTGGTAGAAGACAGACCATGACTCCAAGCTGACTGGTGTTTAACGCCCATGTCTCAATGTTCAAAGAATAAGACACGGCTAAGCACTCTGTCTTATGTGAGCAGAAATGGTCAAGAAAATAGGAAAAACATAAAAAATCGATGGAGTGTTTCTTAAGTAATGCACTGAGAAGTAGAACTTCACTGCATTTGCCACAACCAAATAAGATATTCTGTCCTGGGTCCATATGAGAAACTATAAATGTTTTTAAGGAACTGAGAGGAGGGTCATGTGTACATTGGCACAGTGTCTTTATTGAGCCTAAGGCTTCCACAAGCAATTTCAGAAATCTAAGTCTTACTACTAGTAAGGCTGATAAAACAAGGACGTGGTTAATCCCATATTGTCCTATCCTTCTTCCAGAGCATCTCATTACTCTTCCGTGGAAAAGGAACACTTGGCAGTTCTATCAGAGCTAAATTCATATTCTAACATGGAAAATATTAACAAGGTTGGCAACAGACACAAAAACATCCTACCACTTTCTCAACATGCTTTGTGGGAAAAATATTTCCCTTTGTCATCATTCTCTTCAACAGATTAAAATGCAAGTCCTTTTGAGATAAAGATCTCAACTTTCCTTAAACTGAATTCCAGGAAGCAGCACCTACGATAGATACTTCATGTGCCTAAGACTGTGCCCAACCTATAAGTGAGAAACAAGCTGATGTCTGAATTAGCCATAATTATACTCATTTTTTATAGATCAAATGTGTATAGAACTCAAGCCTTGAACTGCAGAACTTTGCCACAGATGGACTAGATCCTAACATAAACAGGTATACAAACCAAAACATGTAACAGTGGGGACCATGTAATACTAACATAGCCACACAAGAATATTCAGAACAGCTATTTTAAATAATGAGGTAGAAAAATATCAAGTAAAAGGAGAGAGATCCAAGATGGCTGATCACTAGCAGCTCGGCATTGTAGCTCCCAGTGAAAGCACAGAGAACGAGAGGACGCCACACTTTCAGACGAATTTTTGTTGCTCACACACCAGGAGATTCCCAGCGGAGGAGCGTCATGGGTCGCCAGCGCGACTCTTGTGGCTGGCGAGGTGGTTTTGCTGCTGCCTTGGTACGGCGGTTCTTGGTGCAGAGTCAGAAAAGCACTATCAATCTTAACGCCGCTGTTTTGGCCGGTGCAGTGGGTTGCTCAGATTCCAGCACTGGGAATCAACAAGTTGGACGTCCACTCAGAAACCCAATTACAAAGACGGTAATTATAAAGATCACAGATGGATAAATTTATAACGAAGGGAAGAAAACAGCCTAAAAAGGCTGAAAATACCCAGAATCAGAATGCCTCTCCCTCTACAAGGATCACAGTTCCTTATCAGCAACGGAACAAGGCCTGATGGAGAACGAGTGTGTTCCATTAACAGAAGCAGGCTTCAAAAGGTGGATAATACGAAACTTCTGTGAATTAAAAGAACTTGTTCTAACCCAATGCAAAGAAACTAAGAACTTTGAAAAAAGGTTTGAGGAAATGTTAACAAGAATACATAATTTAGAGAGGAATATAAGTGAATTAATGGAGCTGAAAAACACAACACGAGAACTTTGCGAACTATGCACGTTTTAACAGCCGAATCGATCAAGCAGAAGAAAAGATATCAGAAGTCGAAGACCAACTTAATGAAATAAAACAAGATGACAAGATTACAGAAAAAAGGATAAAAAGGAACGAGCAAAGTCTCCAAGAAATATGGGACTATGTGAAAAGATCTAATCTATGCTTGATAGGTGTACCTGAATGTGACGAAGAGAATCAATCCAAGCTGGAAAATACGCTTCAGGATATTCAGGAAAACTTTCCCAACCTAGCAAGGCAGGACAATATTCAACTCCAGGTAATACAGGGAACACCACAAAGATATTCCTCAAGAAGACCAACCTCAAGGCACATAAATCACCAGATTCACCAGGGTTAAAATGAAGGAGAAAATACTGAGGGCAGCCAGAGAGAAAGGTCAGGTTACCCAGAAAGGGAAGCCCATCAGACTCACAGCAGATCTCTTAGCAGAAACCCTACAAGCTAGAAGAGAGTGGGGGACAATATTCAACATCCTTAAAGAAAATAACTCTCAACCCAGAATTTTACATCCAGCCAAACTAAGCTTCATAAGTGAAGGAAAAATAAAATCTTTTGTGAACAAGCAAGCACTCAGAGATTTCATCACCACCAGACCTGCTTTACAAGAGCTTCTGAAAGAACCACTACACATAGAAAGGAACAACCACTATCAGCCTTTCTAAAAAATACCAAAAAGTAAACAGCATCAACATAATCAAGAATTTACATCAGCTAATAGGCAAAACAGCCAGCTAACATTAAATGGCAATATTAAACTCACATATATTATTATTAATTCTAAATTTAAGTCAACTAAATCCCCCAATCCAAAGACACAGACAGGCAAAAAAAGCCAAAACCCATCGGTATGCTGCATCCAGACCCATCTCACATGCCAGGATACACAAAGACTCAAAACAAACGGATGGAGAAAGATTTACTAACCAAATGCAGAGCAAAAATAAAAAAATAAATAAAAAGCAGGAGTTGCTTTAAAGCAGCAAAGATCAAAAGAAGCAAAGAAGGATATTACATAATGATAAAAGGATCAATGCAACGAGAAGAGCTAAAGATCCTAAATATATACACACCCAATACAGGAATACCCAGATATGTGAGTCTTATAAAGAGACTTAGACTCCCACACAATAATAGTGGGAGACTTCAACATCAATATTAGACAGATCGATGAGACAGAAAATTAACAACGATATCCAGGATTTGAACTCAGATCAGGAACAAGTAAACTTAATTAACATTTATAGAACTCTCCACTTTAAATACACAAAATATACACTCTTATCAGTACCACATCACATCTATTTACAGGTTTCAATGAAATATTGGTTGGCTGCTTGTTTGTTATTTTCTTCCCTCATTTTTTTTTCATGTCTCTATTATTAAGCACAATTATAGGCATACCCATTTTTAGACGGCATTCTAGCCCGGGCAATAAAGCAACGCCCCCGTTCTCTCTCCCTCTTCCTCTTTCTCTTTCTTCCTCTCCTTCATTTTTTTTTTTTTTTTTTTTTTTTTTTTTTTTTTTTTTTTTTTTTTTTTTTTTTTTTTTTTTTTTTTTTTTTTTTTTTTTTTTTTTTTAAAAAAAAAAAAAAAAGTAAAATGGAAATATGTTCCCAGTACACTGCTAAGAAAAAAGTGTTACCATAAAAGCATCTAAAGCATAGTTCTATTTTTGGAAAAACTGTGTGTATATGTACCTATGCATGCATATTCATTTTGCAAAAAGAAAAAAAACTCCTATTACTTAAAGGTTATAACAAAATCTCAAATGTTTAACTTTGGGTGATAGGATTATAAGTGATTTTTATTTTCTTCCCTTGCTTGCCAGAATTTTGTAAATATTCTAGAACTAAAACGTTACTTGGTACAAGAAAAACAAACTTTACATCTTAAAATAAATTTAAAGGAACCTAAGTTCAGAATATGGACGCAGCCTAGGCATGGTCTGTTTATCCTTCCTTGCCCTAGCTACACCACCATCTCTGCAACTCTCTGTAGATATCTTCAATGACCCAAAGACATGATTAGATACTTGCTTCTATTCCACAATGAAGGTCTACTAACTGTAGATGAGTAGTAAATTCAAAGATAGGAAAAAAATCCATCTATTAGAACACTTGTCTCTCTACCTGGGCATATCTTAACAGCTTCTCAGTGGCCTCAGGGTCTTTATTCCAGATGAGATCTTCACACAGCTGCAGAAGTTCCTTATGGATATCATTATACACAGGGAGGTTTCCGGCATTCACTATCCCCATGTCCATGCCAAACTAAGAGCAAGACAAATAAAAATGGGAATTTACAGTTGTACCATAAGTCAGAGATCAGCAAACTTTTCTCTGTAAAGGGCCAGATAAAAACTATTTTAGGCCGTAGCCTCTGTCACAGCTACTCAACTTTGCTGTTACAGCATAAAAGCAGCCCCAGACAAGACATAAGCTAATGGGTGTGGCTCTGTCTCAAAAAAATCTTATTTACAGAAACTGGCAGCAGGCCAGACTTGGCCCACACACCACAATTCGAAAACCCTTGCCCCAAGTAAAGTTGGTTCCCACAGGGCAAACAGTTCTTCTACCATACCTTGATTGCATGGTAAAGGAAAACCCCATGCATTGCTTCTCGAATGGCATCCATTCCTCGGAAGGAGAATGATAAATTGGAAAGACCTCCACTTATTCTGGCTCCAGGTAATGTTTCCTGGCAAAAATTTTAAAATATGAAAAGATTCCCCTATCTTGCCAAAAGCAGCAGTCACATCTCTTAAGTTTTATACAGGAATGAAAAGTTAAAAAAAAGTATGAAGTTCAAAGTAATTCAGAGCTTGTTATTAGACATACACCAAGGCTTCCATATTATGGTGCTTCAAAAGTAGATTTTCTTACTAAGACTCCAATCTCCCTAAGGAAAACTACAAAATTCTACTTTAATTTTGTATACCTTGAGAGTGACCATGATAAGACTTAATATACACTGAGTGTTCCATAAACTATTTCCTGGATAAATGACAGAGAAAGAGAAAGAGACAGAAAGACAAACAGTGTCTGTCACACGTACACACACACACACACACAGAGACACAAAGAAAGGAGTTCCTTATTCATTGAAAGCACAAATTATTCATTGAAAGCACAAATTATTGTGCTTTCAATGAACAAACTCCCTAGTTCACTATAAACTTGACCAACCATATAAGGACAAAAGGAAATTGAAGTACCTACCATACCTATGACAATATCAAGCATCATCAGGCATGTGGAATAACAGGAACTCTATCGATTCAAATAAAAATTGGCTCAAGAATCTAGGGAGACAGTTTGTTATTACCTACCACTATGAGCCAACCATTCCACTTCTGGGTATATGCTACAGAGAAGCTCAGGCATGTATGTGTAAGATACATATAGAAGAATACTCGGAGCTGCATTATTCATAATGTCCAAAAGCTGGAAACAAACTAGATGTCCATTAACAATAAACAGTTAATTGTGATATAGTTATACCATAGAATATTATACATTAATAAAAATGAACAAATAGCTACAGCCACACAGAGAAATCTTTAAAATGAATTGAGTAAGGGAAAAAAAGCATGAAAATATGATTCTATTTTTATTAAGCTCAAGAGCAGGCAAAACTAAACTATATCATTCAGATGTTCAATTTTTACTATTTTGTGGTAGTTATGTTCTATAAAGTCATTGCAAACACTGAATTAGGGAATACTGGAGCACTGCCCATAGGAGAAATACAGGGTTAGGTTCCTGTGAGCCTCTGATCACATTTTTGTCAACCAATCAATACATAACCTTGTTTTGTGTGTTCATGTTAAGGTGCTTTATTTAATATGTACACTAAATTCACCACCAATGGCACTATAATTCATGTCTGAATGAAGCTTGTCTAACAAACATATTTCCTCCATAAGGCATATCACAGCCTTCTTGCACTTAGGAACACTAGACAGCACTAGGATGGGACCATTTTAAAAACTGACCTTACCAGCAAAAAGCATTAAAATATGAACAACACGGCATTAGACTGCAAAAAGGGCATCTGTATGCAGGATGAGAGCTAAAATAAGAAGGCATATCACTGCCCTGTTCAACCTCTTTGGGAACATATGGGTTGGGCCACTCAAATTGTCCACTACTTTGCATATGGGTATGTCTGAGTAATTGCAGAAGTGACAATTGAGTATTGATTTTAGGGTCACAAATAAATTTCAGTGAGTATATGAATCTGCAAATACAAAATCCATGGATGATGCAAATCAACATATATATTCTATGTATATAGGCAATAAATTTATGAAGAAAAGCAATAAAGTAGCATAAAACTCAGGATGACAGCTACTTTATAAAATTGAGAATGAGGTATAACTGGAAAAGGAGAGACAGATGGGGGCACTAGCTATGCTCTATTTTGAGACCTAAGTGAAGGCCCTTATATGCTTCATAATTATTTATTAGGTTCTGTGGTTTTTTTGTTTTGTTTTGTTTGAGACAGGGTCTCACTCTGTCGCCCAGGCTAGAGGGCAATGGCACGATCCCAGCTCACTGCAACCTCCGCCCTCCTGAGTTCGAGTGATTTCATCAGGCTCTGTTATATTCTCTAGTCTATTTTACACAAGTTAAAACTCTACTAAAGAAAAAAAAATAAGGTCCCCTACATTTCAGAAAAACACTTTCCTAACTAAGAACAAGAATGTTAACATTCCAGCCAGTAAATATATACATCAGCTCTAACCATTCATTAGACCCATGGGATAAATGTGAGCCATGACTTGGGAGAGAAAATGCCTACACTTACTTTAATGACTTTTGTTGCCTGGATAAAATTAATGGCATACAAGTTGTGTTCTTCCATCCCAGTACCAATGGTTAGGATATTTGGGTCAAAAATGATGTCATTCGGATTAAAGCCCAGTTTTTTCACAAGCAGATGATAGGCCCGGGTGCATATTCTGATTTTGGTGTCTGTTTCTGTTGCCTGGGGAAAAAGAGCAAAAGATATATTTTGAAATTTAAAAAAAAAAAAGTGTTAACTATTAAATAGAGCATATTTCACGCACTGAAAACAGTGTCAATGCTTGGGTTTCACAGAAATCTAAATGCCACGCTGCTTACCATCACTTATCAAATTATCTCAGAGGAGAAACTGCTTTAAAGATGTCTTTGTGTTTTCACAAACACAGCAGCTATACTCTTTCTGCAAAAAATCAAATCTTATACACATACACACATATGGTATATTATGAAAAAGCTTCTAAAAAAAAACATGCATGTAACAAATCAAATATTACTAAAGAAGAGATTAACAGATATCCCTTCCTCTCTTGACCTGCCTGCAGTGTCACAACCTATCACCCACGAAACACTGCCATTGCTTTCTCAGATCTTCTTGCAAAAACACTCTAAGTATATTCAAGGATATGGATTTATTCCTCACCTCCACCCATCATAACACTGGCTTGTTAACATGTGTCTTAAGTCATAAATACAAATTAGTCTTTACCTTCAAAATAATGTCCCTAGAAGACAAAATAATATTACCCTTCAAAATAATGTCCCTAAAAGGCAAAACACTGACTCCAGCATGGCATATCCCCCAGCTGCTTCCCATCACCCTCAGAACCACGGCCTACACCTCCAATCTCATCTCCTACCATCTGCCCTCTCCTCTACTCTGCACCCCCTACATTGCTCCTTTGGTGTTTCTGAAACACACCAAGCTGGTTACTACCTCAACAACTTTCATTTACTGCTGCCACTACCCAGAACATACCATGACATGGCTTTGTGCTTCGTATGACTCAGGCTTCCGCCTAAGTACCCCTTTTCCGAGCCTACCTTAAAACACACTCTCAAAACCAGCTCACCTCCACCCTTCCCCACCTCCTCCATTCTTCTTCAGAGTCTTTCTTTCCAGAAACTGTATGATTTTGGCAATGTCTTTAGCATTTTTTGGTTGTTTTATTCCTCATTAATTTGTAAACTCCTCTCCCCTAGCTAGAATGCCAGTCTTACTGTATCCCCAGGGCCCAGGGCAGGGGCTATCAAAGTATGTGCTCAACATTATGTATGAATGCTGCTTTTACCCAAAGCATTTCTAAACATTGTCATGGAAAACTGTCTTCAGATCAAATTTACAACCTCAACACAGGGTATTCAACAAATTAAATCCTGAATGATTTCTGGTTGCATGAAAAATCAAATCTATTCTTAAAAAATGATTACTTGCTATCACTACAGTGATGAGAATAAATAAGTCACAATTCTGAAGGCCAATTCTCAATGAATGTGAAAAATGTTCTTGAAAAATGGCCAACCCTGCTGAAATCTGTGTTGTGTGTGGTCTTCTGTGGAGATGAGGGGGTGGGGACACTGACATAGCTCAAGTGCATCAAGTGAAGCCCTGGACAGCAGAAATGAGGAGTAGGGAAATTATGAAAAGAACTCACTCTTAGATCTAGTCTTTTGATGCTTACTACTTTGGTATTCTTTTTCAACTGTTTTCTTTGGTCCCTAATCGCTCCCTGCAGCTGGTGGGGTCAGGTTTCACCTCTGCTTGGGAGGGAAGTGCCTCCAGGACTTAGCAGACAAAAGGACCCAGGGAAAGCGAGACAGGAAATGGTCTTTGTGGCCTCACTGCAACAAGGCTTTAGGGAAGGTGGCAAGCTCTCATCTTCCTTAATGGAATTTTCTCAATGCTCACTTCCTCTGCCTTCAGTTAGAACGAAAAGGTTAAGGTTGAGGCTGAGATGTGTGTCAGGAAAAAGTGGTCAGAAACAGGTCAACTGCAGCTGCCTTTAGTCTTAAACCTTAAAAGTTCACCCTTCACCAGACAGCCCAATAGAGTTCTAGGCTCCAAGTTCATGGCCCAGCTAAGCTCACTAAGAGAGAAGGCACAGGGGTGACCAGTGCTACTAGTATTACTTAGTAACCTAGTCTGGTTGGTAGATGAAGAAGTCAAGGTCCTGGTCATTTCTCTCCTGAGCCATGAATATTATCTGGCCACGTAGGGCAGGTTGAGGTGAATAGTATGTTACCTACGGGAGAGTAGGGTATGGGGCCCAGCTGCGTACCAAAGACAGCCCTGCTTGTGGAATAAGCAGGAGCATCCTCACAGGACAGGAATTCATTTCTAGAACCAAAACAGAGTCATCGACTCTAACCTCCATAAGGATGAAGCCCTCGTCAAATTGTTCTCGTGGTGTCTAGCACAGTATCTGTGTCACAGTAACTGATAACCTCTGTCACTCGATTAAACAAATGACTCTCAGAGTGCACAGAGCATTGGTAAACAGGCCTTTGTCAGGAGCAGGTCATATCATGTTAGATTCATCAAGCTTCTGTCTTACTCCTCACCAGGGCTGTGGGACAGACACACTAATAAAGGCTCTATCATGCTTGTGGATTTCACAGATCCAGTAAAACAGATCGGGAGCTTTACTACATCAGGAAGGGCTTTCCACCCTGGTTGTACATTACGATAACCTGAAGGGATTTTTGTTTGCTTGTTTTTTATAATAGTAACACCTCACCCTAGACCAGTTAAATCAGAATCTGGAGATGAGGCCTCAGCAAGTGTTTTTTAAAAGCCCTTTAGTGATGCTAATGTAAAGCCAGGGTGAGAACCGCTGCCAAGTGAGATGTGGCACCTTCTTCCATTGGAGTAGAAGAAAAACTCAGTGAGACTTTCAGCAGCAAGAAGGAAGGAATAAATGCCATTTGTAGCTTTAACAACCAGGTTTACTCTTAAGTCATTGACAACCTAGACCGTGACCAGTAAGTAGAAGGTGGCTTCATTTAAGAAACTCATGGCTCAGATTTTGCTAAAATATCAGACTCTCAGGGAGAAATGCAATAAAACAATTTTTGATTTAGTCATCAAGGCAGATACTGTGAGGAAGAGAAAGACAATGTGCTGAAGACACCTGGATTCTTTAATGTAGTCTGACAAGGAGCAGAGATGGAACAGGGCTAACTTCAGAGGTGGGTTAAAATTTTAAAATCGAACTGAACTAGTTGAAAATGGGCAAGAGAACCCTGGAGGAAGCAGAGGCCCATCCTGGGGCTGTAGTTAAAAAACCAAAAACAAAAAACATAGGTGGAAAGGGATGTTTGTGCCTTTCAAGAGAGACACTGACAAGTAGGAAGGGAAACACTAAAGAAAGGGAAGTTTCCAAGGGAAAAATCTAAAAATCACTACCAAAGGAAAAATATTTACCCAAGAAAAAATAAGCCAATCACAACAAAAACAACAAACAAAACATATATGAATGATCTAGAGATTTCCTACTTAGGGATAATTACAAAACTCCATTGAATGAGTAATTGGAAAGACACTCCATGTTCCTCAATAACAAATCTAAACACTGGCAAGATACCGATTCCTTGTTATTTTCCAGGTTAGAATTAATTATATGAATCAATATCCAATGGTTCTCCATAATTAGAAATTTATTTTCAAGGCATTTTAAACTATGAAAAAAAAAAAAAAACAGAAAAATGTGTTGCATATATTATTCTTTTATATAGTTTACACATGTGCAAACAAAAACTAATATAGGCCATTCTGCTATTATGTGATAATTGTATTTCTAAGAAACTTCACATCATCAAAAATTGTCATACGAAAAAGTTATTTTTGTGAACCCATGTATTATATGAAAAACATTTAAAACTCATTTCATTTAGAAAAAGAGAGCTAAATCTAGAGTCAGTATACTTGTCCCACAGAAATTTCAATAATAAAAAGGTGTCCTGTATCTTGTTACATAGAGTTAAAAATAACAGTTGGTCAAAACGATTAGCAACAACAGAAAACACAGAAATGCTTCCCTGCTGCCTTTCCATCCAGAAGTCTCAGGCCCAGTGCCCCGTCATATCTGATCTTGACCTTGCAGTTTTTTTGCAACGTGGATCACAGACATTAACCAAAGACTCAAACACAGCAGCCAGATACTGAACCAAAGCTGGTGTGCCTTGTTTAGTCACATCAGTAGTTTCCCATTTGAGAAAGTTGGTTTTTTCCCTATAACCAGTGGTGTCAATCCAGGCAAAGCAAATCCCGGTTCTTAACTGACTGCTACATCCAACAGCATTATGAGAACTCAATCAACAGAAAACATGCCTTTATGTAAAAATACCTGTATTGCTAGCCTCTTAACTTTGGAAGTATACAGGATCTTTGCTTTGCTTTTTATAATTTTCAATATTTATGACTATTTGATGGTGAGCATACATGCTGCTCCATAATCTGCATAATATTTAAATATTCTGGAGAATAATCCAATAGAATTATATTACCTAAGTTATCTATTTATCTTCAGTTGGGCACTTGATTTGTTATATTTTCCATAATGTTAGTGCAAAATCCTTGCATATATAGTATCCTTATGCTGTTGAATTCTTTGTTGGAATAATTTTCCACAAATAAGATTATGAGTTCAAGGGATATAAACAATTGTTTGTGTCTTGACAGGTATTATTCTGCCTTTCACAAGGGCTGCACCAGTTTATACTACACTCTGCAACAAATGAGGCTTCAGTTTTATCACTGCTGTATCTACAGAGACCTTGACCATCTTTAATTTTACTGACTTAGTAGGGATAAAACATTACCTTAATGCTGCTCTAATTTGTGTATCTTTCATAACTAGCAAGTTAATCTTTTATCCCTATATTTGCCTTTAATTTGTGGTCACAGTCAAGTCTAAATTGGGAAAACCTATCCTTAGACAAGATCAAGCACTAAGCAGTGCCAATAAACAAAGCATGGAGTACAGTAAACATGGGATTTGGAAACATACACCAGTCTTCAAATGAGGAAGACAAAGGGTGAAAACTTGGTTCCACTATATCCTAGATATGGCATCGGTCCACTACAAAATGGGATGGCTGCCACCTCAGGTGGTTACTCTGAAGACTAAATGAGACAACATCTGCTGGTGGTTTTCAATCAAAATATGCATGAGAATCACCTCT